AGCAGGCTCAAACATAGCTTTTTTGATTTCTCCCAATCAAGTCCCCCCAAATTTACTAGGAAATCCAAGCAGGGATATTTAAACCTCCAAACATGGCCGATGTTGAGAACAAATGTGGCATTTAAATTCCTTTTAGCCTGGCTTAAAACGTGGAGTCTAAGTACTGTCCTATAAATAACACATTTGGCACAATGACACCTTAAGGTTGCTATTCTTTCATGAATTTAAGCTTTCATACAAAGTTGAATGAAATGCATTTTATTTCTAACGGTCAATTACTAAGTAAAGCATACAAAAGAAAAATCAGAAAAAGTAATTTAGAAAAAGGTAGCATCACTGTGCATATGCACTGGGTAGGATTTGAAGGTCAGTCATTTTAGTCATTAAAATGTTGCAAAAAATATTAATACACTGTGATAATTTCTTCATTTGTTTTTTTTTCTGGCAAGAATTTCCATTTGCAAATACTTGTCTGCAGGAATATTCATAAGTCACAAGCTCCAGCCTCCATCGATGATAAGCTCATTGCCAGTCATGTAAGCAGACTAAAAATATATGAAAAGGCACAGTAACTGTTAGTAATCATTTATGACTATTAAGCATTGGAAAATACTTATTACTAAAATTCATTTAACAAAACCAGTTACTCTCACAGCAAACAGCAGTTTTACAAGTACAATGGTGGTTCTTAAAACTGTTAAACAGTCTGAAAAATTAAACTCCTTTCAGCTACTACTGTAGTTGGGCAAACGCATTAGCTCTTGGCTTCAGGCCAGCTGGCATAAATGACAGTGCGCCAAGCTAATGCTCAAAAGAATCTGGCCTGTAAGCATATCGCCATACACTGCAGCATGATTAGCCTCAGAGGTTTAGAGGGATCTGGCCTGGTCAGCTACTGCTACTGTATTGAGAGACCCACAAGAAAAACCCAGATGGCTCAGGAAGTTGTGTTTGTGGTACTCTACCTTCAGGGTCAGCACTAAGCCATACTCAGTTCAGATTTACTAACTAATATATTGACCTTGTCTGGCCAAAGCTTGTACAGATAAACTGGAAACCCAGGCAAGCCAGTCTGATAGCATTCAGCATTTTTCTGTGACCAAGATAAACCTTTGCTCTTGCATAACATTTAGATCATAGATTCACTAATGCCTTCCCCTTGGTCCCCCAACTGAAGGTAGGGCTATTTGTCATGGAAATTTATTAGTAGCAGCTCTCACAGAACTGTCTCTGCAAGGCCAGTAGACTCGCCTGTATGTAGCATCCATGACATGGTCCTTAGCAAATGACAACTTAACCTTCATTAACAGTGCCAGGCAATAACTCACTTTTTGCATCTTGGACTGGACTCAGTAAAAATGTCAGCTTTATACTGTTGCAATAGTTTGGCTTAAAGACTACACTAGACCATCCCCATCCCCTCTACCACCAGCAAAGTCTCTCCACTGAGAGGCAGAAAAATAGCCCAGGCTACTGTGATGCACTGTTTTTGCTATCTACTACTTACTTCATCGGAGGCCAGATACACAAAGAGGTGGGCCACTTCTTCAGCAGTAGCCATCCTACCAGTCTTCTGTCTATCCAGAAAGTCTTTCAATGCCTATAGACACAAGATAGTCAGAGTATCAACATCACAAGATCAAGTATATAAACACGATTATTCTGTTCTACATTTGCTATGTTGGCAATACACTCACAACCTTTACCAATTTTCATAGAATCCTAGAAAGGGTGGGGGGGGAGGACCTCAGGAGGTCATCTAGTCCAATCCCCTGTTCAAAATCCCACCAAACACCATCTGATTAAGCAGACAAAGGAGAGAAGGTGACATCACTACCATTGCTTCTCTGGAATGAAGAAAGGTAGGCAGAAGTGCTGTTTAGTCCCTCCCTGCCCCAAACAGTTTGTATGCACATGTGTCCACTCAATATAAATTAGAGTTTGCTTACCTGATCTGGGTTAGGTCTAGCACAAATTCTCTCTCGTAGAGATGGAGTGTCAACAGTTCCTAAGGTAATATTCAGAATTCAGTACCACTACTGAAGTGGACTGACCAGGACTCAAAAGCCACTAGGGAGAACTCCTCAACATTAGTCTATTACTTACAGTGCCATGGTTGTACAGGATTCACAATAAAATAGATTAAAAAGGTGTCTGGACAACTAGTTCAACTGACTTTTGTTGAGACTGTGGCTATGCCTATATTGGGGTCACCAGTGTGATGCAGAGGTATCCAAGTTAGCTTTAAGTCAGCTAAGCAGTCTAACCTCTACCATGCAGAGCTCAGCATGTGCTAACTTAGCTTGCCAAGAAGCAGAATCAGTTAACCCTCATGGATCTGCATGCTGCTCTGGCTAGACTGTGACCAGCCCCTAAGCTAACTCAACTGTTTTTACATTCTGCTGCAGTATTCCCATACTTTGAAACTCCTCAGTACCCAAGTCAGTTTTGACAAATATAGTGTAAGTGCCTAAGTCACTTGGGTGCTTTTGAAACTTCTACCTGCAGTTGATAAAAGCAAGGGGAAGATCCCAGCTCCAACACATTCACAGCTCAGGATACTACCAAGTGATAAACTATCCTACTACTATGGATAGAGAGTGAGGAGTGATATTTAGCTTGCAAGAGGTTTCACAGACAGTTCAATTCTTCCAGAGTACAAGACTTCCTGTTTACATCTTTTACAGCAATGAGACCACCTTTATTTCTTGGCATTAGTCATTTAATTCATTTTGCTATGCTATTCAAGTGACACATGAATTTTTGTTTTGTTTTGCTTTACTGGCTATAGGCCTTAAAGGTGAACATACTCCATAGAGTTTGGCATTCAGGCATTTTAACTCTAAGGGGTAAGTAGTCTTTCCTTCTCCAGTTTCCGATTTGCATGTCCATTTGCTTATACCTGGAATAATACACCAAACAAGTGCTACCTGTGTACTTATGATGTGCATGTGTATTTTTACTGAATAAAGGCCTTGACTTCTAGGTTATTAATACACAGCACAGGTGCTAAATGATAAGACGGCAATGTATTCAGGAAATACTAGAAGAAAGGCTGGTTTTGTCCCTGCCTGCCGATACCTTCAGCAACCTTTTAGTGGGTTGCTTTCAAGTTTTATTTCCTATTAGCCTCAAACTAAATTTGGAACCACGTTATTCAACTTCTGTTACAAGTTCACATAGTATTGTAAAAATACTTACCAGGACATACGCAGTTGCACCTGATGCCATGTTCAATGAAGTCAGCAGCTATAGACTTTGTTAGACCAATAACTGCGGCCTTTGAAGTACTATAGACAAATCTGTTTACAACTCCTGACAAATTTGATGTCAGGTTAGCATGGAAAGAAAAACAAAAAAAAAAATAGTCACGTTTGTTGCATATGGAGTTGTTCTTGGGCTCTCCTGTTTCCAATAGCACAGGGAACCTCCCTGAAGAGACCATGACTGGTTGGCTAGAGCAGGGATGGTCAACCTGCAGCACATGTTCTACAAATGGCAGATCTGGGAGAGAGCAGGGAAGAGTGGCAGATTAGGCAGGAAACAAAGCAGAGCTACAGCTTGGGCAGAGAGTAGAAAGCAGAGAAGCAGATTGGGCAAGGGAATGGGATTGGAGTGACATTTGGGGAGGATGCAAGCTTAATTTGTGGCATACCTGTCAAAAAGGTTGGCTCCCACAAGGCTAATTACCAAACAAAAGAACTTGCATGACTAGAGTGCCATCCTTTATAGCAAATTCATATATTTGGAGCACAGCTCCATCTATTTCAGTTCTCTGCAAATCAGATCTTTGATACCAAGTTGGGTAACCAGAAATTGAGGAACACATGGTAAACACTTATGAAATTCGCATTTAAAATGGACTCAAGATTCAACATAAAACTGTGGCAGAGACAGGGTAAACAAGGTACCACCTTTGTCAGAGGCATGGGCAATGCAAAAATAGCCCCAGCTGCAGGAGCAGGTGACTGTACTACTGCTACGGGCATCACTTCACTGGTGTTGCCATGTGCATCACAGCTGCCCTGGACACAAGGCTGCTCTGCCATGCCTCTGGGAGTAAAATTCAACTTCCAGAGTGGCATTCAACTTCCATAGTCATAAGTCCCTCCTTTTGGTTCTTCCAGGTCATTGACTTATTTACTACACTTTCTAACTACTTCCACAAATGAAGCAGGGGTCTGGCTGATCACTTGATTTCATTTTAAAGCCCCAATTCGTTTCTGAGTAAAATCTCCTGTTCACTAATGTAGGGTTTCCTGGAAAAACAAAACCCGCTGCATATGCTGATATCATTAAAGACTACATTGAAATGTATATGCACAAGGGGCCAAATCTATATTTTGTATCATTCTTGAATTTTCTCAAGTAGGCGCTTTCAAAACAAGAGACTTGGTAATCATTATTCTACAGAGCCAGAGTGCCAACAGGGTTATCACGAGTATGTACGTGTCAAAGCTAAGGAGTTATTGACCTTTAATGCTGGATGCCACAGAAGACATATTGATAATGTTTCCAGATTTCTGGGCAAGCATCTGTAAAAAAAAAATACATATGCTGTCATTCAAAAGAAAGCTGCAGTCCAAAGGACCGAGGACCAGTCCGAGGACCAGTTCTGTACCCATACTCACATTAAACACTAGCTTAGTTTGCAAGTTATTGTCCAAGCTACATCAGTGGGACTACTTGTGGATCAAAAACCCTATACAAAGAGCAGAACTTTTAGATAGATATAACTGAATTTCTAGTTCAAATATACTGTAACTATGAGAAGTCTTATTCTCTTCATCAGTGATAACTCTCTTCTAACTGGAGGTGCTAGATAAGTACGTCCAGAAGATTATCTTAAAGTGACTTACAAACAATAATTTACACTTTTGATCTAGGTAAAGACTTTACAGCTAAGAAACAGGTGAAGTGACTTGCTCATGGTCACATGGCAAATCTGTGGCAGGACCAAGAATTTAACCCAATTGTTCTAATATCTAGCCCTAGTCATCTTTTTAACCACTACAACATCCTTCTTCTCTTATACTTCTATCTAAAGAATTATTGGTTATTACACTGCAATGCTTCAGTTAAAGTGGAGAAACCCTGTAGTTACCAATTCAATTTTACCTTCTTCACAGCTAAAAGGGCTGAAGGCACTAGTAGCCTTAATGTAAGGGTTTGCCTGGTGAACGGCTGTTTCTCATACTGAACATCGTTGACTAAAAGCTGTGATCTAACTGGATGAAAAAGAAAATACCTCCTACCCAGCATTATGCATTCAGTTGATATGGCCAGGGACAGGGACATCCCCCGCACTGGGATTACGGATGGACCCAGGGGAGGTAAAGCCAGGCCCAGGGTCAGTAAGGACCTAGTCAGGGAACTTCTGGAGGGACTAGATGTGTTCAAATCAGCAGGTCCTGATGATCTCCACCCCAGAGTGCTTAGGGAACTGGCAGAAGTCATTGCAGGACCCCTAGCACAGCTTTACGAGCACTCATGGTGCTCTGGTGAGGTGCCTGATGACTGGAAAAGGGCCAGTGTGGTCCCCATTTTCAAAAAAGGGAGGAAAGAGGACCCAGGAAACTATAGGCCAGTTAGTCTTACCTCGGTCCTGGGGAAGCTCTTTGAGAAAATTATCCAGGAGCACATCTGCAAGGGGCCAGCAGTGGAATTTATGCTTAGGGTCAACCAACATGGGTTCATTAGAGGCAGGTCCTGTCAGACCAACCTGGTGGCCTTCTATGACCAGGTCACAAAAGCCTTGGATGCAGGTGTCGTGGTGGACATAGTCTTCCTGGACTTTAGGAAGGCCTTTGACACTGTCTCTCACCCCATCCTCATTAAATTTGGCATCTGTGGTGTTGACGCCTACACAGTCAGATGGGTTGCAAATTGACTGGAGGGCTGCACCCAGAGAGTGGTGGTGGATGGATCATTTTTGACCTGGAGAGATGTGGGCAGTGGGGTTCCCCAGGGCTCGGTCTTTGGGCCCACACTGTTCAATATCTTCATCGGTGATTTGGACGAGGGGGTGAAAAGCACCTTGTTCAAGTTTGCAGATGACACTAAGATGTGGGGAGAAGTGAGCACGCTAGAAGAGAGGGACAGGCTACAACTAGATCAATAGGTTACAGAGGTGGGCAGATGAGAAAAGGATGGGTTTCAATATGGACAAGTGCAAGGCATTGCACCTGGGGAGGAAGAACCAGCAGCATACTGACAGGCTAGGGAACTCCATTCTAATCAGCACAGAGGCAGAGAAGGATCTTGGAATCACTATTGATTCCAAGATGAACATGGGCTGCCAATGTGGGGGACACAGTCAGGAAGGCCAATTGCACCTTGTCGTGCATCCATAGATGCATCACGAGCAGTTCCAACGAGGTGATCCTCCCCCTCTATGCAACATTAGTCAGGCCGCAGTTGGAGTACTGTGTCCAGTTCTGGGTGCCGCGCTTCAGGAGGGATGTGGACAGCATCGAGAGGGTCCAGAGGAGGGCCACTTGCATGATTAGGGGGAAGCAGAACAGGCCCTACTAGGAGAGGCTACAGGACCTGAACCTGTTCAGCCTCCACAAGAGAAGGCTGAGAGGGGATCTGGTGGCCACCTATAAACTTGCCAAGGGAGACCAGCAGGCAATGGGAGAGTCCCTGTTCCCCCGAGCACTACCAGGGGTAACAAGGAATAACGGACATAAGTTGACTGAGAGTAGATTCAGGCTAGGTATCAGGAGGCACTACTTCACTGTCAGAGCGGCTAGGAGCTGGAACCAACTTCCAAGGGAAGTGGTGCTTGCCCCTACCCTGGGGGTCTTCAAAAGGAGGCTAGACACCCACCTAGCTGGGGCAATTTGAGTCCAGCATCCTTCCCTGCCCATGGCAGGGGGTCAGACTAGATGATCTGCTCAGGTCCCTTCCAACCCTACCAACTATGAAACTATTTAAGAGCAAGAGTTATCATGCTAGAGTGCATTAAAACTTGGGTCAGACCAATGGTCTATCCATCCCAGTAGGTGAGAAAGCATTGAATCTGATATATCTAGAGTGATCTATCCTCTATTTATTACCCTCCCTGGCATGTAAAATGAATTAGTGTCTAATATTTAAGTACATTTAAGTACACTTATTGCTGTGTTTTAAAATCAGAGGAAGAATGGCCTTAAGCACAGATAGATGTTAAGGCCCTAGTCCAACTCATGGCTCTTTATGTGAAGTGCCATAAGTTAGAGTCACCTCTCCAAAGCAGCAGATATCTGCCTGCCTGCAATGGCCCTGGCCAGCAGATGGGGGTATTCCAGCAGCCTCTAAGGAGGCTGCCAAACTGCCCCTTTCCCCATTCCCCCCAGGTCTGGCCATTCAGCAGAGCTGCCAGCTGCTGAATAGCCAGAGCTGAGGGGGAATGGCAGGGGGAACAGAGCCCCCATACCTTGTGGGCCCCTCCCAGCTACCTTGACTGGGGTATTGGGGGTAGTTGTGGGGAAGCTGCAGGTGAGGGGGCTCTGTTCTTTGCCCCCTCGCCATCAGCTCCGGCCATTCAAACCAGCCGGGAGCTATGTGCTGGTTGCTCCTGGATGCTGAATGGCCAGAGCAGAGGTGGGGAGGAGGGAAATGGAGCCCTCTTATTTCACTGACCTGACCTAGCTTCCTCTAATACTGCAGTCAGGGTAGATTGGGGGGGGGGGGGGGGGGGGGGCACACGTGGGGGGGGCCACAAGCCCAGGGGGTTCCGTTTCCCCCTCCCTCCACTCCCCCTTAGCTCTGGCCATTCAACAGCTGGCAGCTCCCCCTCCTTTCCCCTGACAACCCAGGGGGACAACCCAACCCTGCTGCCTGATTCCATGAAAAATTAACCCTGGAGGGAACACAAGTTCCCCAAGGAGCTCTGCTTTTGAGCACCTTAATTTAATACCCGAGTTAACTAGGGTTATTTTTTCATGTGATCAGTTATTCATGCACGCTTATTATGACAGCTGTAGACAGCTTTCAGGGCCCAGACCGCTCAAAAATATCACTTCTATCTGTGCCCATAGTTAAAGTACTGAACTGCAACTTGGGAGAACATGGTTCAACTTTTAACTGTGCCATAATCTATTTGTGAAGCCTTTGGCTAGTCTTTTGGTCTCTTCATCTATCTACTTCCCATTTATAAAATGAAGACAATTCCTCTCTCCCTCCCTTTGTCTGTTTTAGCAATTTAGTTTGCATTCTCTTTAAGGAAGGGATTGTCTCTTTGTACACACATATTCAGTGTCTAGAAAAATAGGGTCCTGATCTTGCTTAGATCCCTTTAGGGCTTGTGTAAACCTACAAGATTTGCAAAACACTGCACCATAGCAAAGCTGGACACTTTCATGCTCCCCTACTTCACTTGCCACCACTGCTTCCCTCACTGCCAATTGCCTTTGCCAGCAGCAACTGGCAGTGGGAGTAGCAGCAGCAGGGCACTGCCAATTACTGTAGCGATTCACACATGCCTCCAACCAGGGGGATGCACCTCACAGTCTAGGAAACACTGTCCTAAGGGCTACTGTATACTAGTAAGTTATAAAATCACTGGTATCAGCAATAAGTTTTAGATCTGATTTAAAAAATAAATAAAATGCTTTCCTACTAAGCAGTAGGATTTCTGCTTCCTCTGCATAGTCCCAGGTTGGCTATTTTAGTCTTAGGACAATGATGGGTATATTTAATAACTGCTTACATTTGTGGTATCTTGTTGACTTAGTGAGGTGTTGTATTAATACACATGTATGAGCGTACACACACGCCACACAGCAGAGCATATGCTCCTCAGCTATAACACACACCCCTTGAATGTATGCAAGCATTCATCTACAGCCTGTGGCTCCATAGAGTCAAGGGCTGAGTGGATTTGATGAATGTGTGAGCTGTCATTTATGTAAATCTTAGTTTTCTAGTCACTACCCCCTAAATCACCACTGCCTTACTGATTCCCCAGCCAGGTACCCAACGCCAATGTGGTTACCACCACTACTCAACCCACTCCTTTTCCTTCATTCAAGCCCTTCTTATTCTGGGACAAGATTTAGACCCCACCCCCCTGAAATCAGGAAAGTGCAACCAGAGTGTGGGGAGCTTAGTTAGAGTCCTCTCTTCAGTGCTGCTTCAGAGCAGATGACCCAAGTTGCCATTGCAAGTTAAAGGCACAGCTAGCTGCTATGTAACAATTGTTTAAAAAAAAGGATGGCCAGTTTCAGGTATTCTTTAAAACAGTCTTTTGTCTGTGGGCCTGATGAGTGGCATGGAGCCAATCTGCAAACCTGATTGGGACCCAAAAGCAAAGATTGGGCTCCATGCAGCCTTGGCAGGGCCATGCTATCTAGCTCATGGGTCTTCTCATAGGTCTGTAAATTTGGGAGCAGAGAAGTGGCGATTAAACACTGCCATTGGTCCCCTCCCATAAAGTTTTCAGACCCAAGGGGAGCTCTGTAGGTCAGATCTGGTCTATGGGCTGGGGTTTAAGCACCCCTGCTTTAAAAGGGATGCGAATTTCAGAAAGTGCTAGGAATTCACCTCTGACAGTCATGTCTCTTTTAGACATGACAACCTGAGAACTGAGGCAGCTAAATTCAATATAACCACTTCTGGAAGTGTAGGTCAGCTGGTACCAAGGGTTTGAGAAGAGCAGGGTCTAGTATCATACTGAAATACCATCTTGTTCACATGGTGACAACTTAGGTTACTTAGAGTGTCACAACTGTTTCTGGTAAATACTTCCTGGATGGTTATTGTCTATGAAGTATCTTTCAGAAAGTATCCTTTGCTATTATATAATCAGATAGGAAAATTCTCTCTGTTTACCTAATGGGATTATTGTTCCCATAAGTAGCAAATTGTCACCAGTGATACTAAATAGCTTCATAAGAATATCCTCAGCAGGAGGCTAGTTACCTTGAATAATTTTGCCTACATGCATGTTGTGTGGTACTGCATTGCCATGACGTCTCTGTTCCACGTTTGAACAGTTGATTTAGGTACAAGCCTAAAAAAACTCTCCCCACATGTACTTCTACATACTGTTCACAACTGAAATCAGAAATCTAAGTCTAAATAAGAGATCTACTAACGCAGCCCTAAGAGCCCTATAGTCACATCCCAGCATTTTCACTCCTACCTCCAGGATCTTAACATAATCTACTCCTATCCTACTCTAAATACAGCATAATGTCTGCCAGATATAGGGATCTTGGTAGACAGAGCCTTACCTTAGGAAGGAATGTTTTGATCATTAGATACATGCTGTGAACATTGAGGCTCATTGTGAAGTCCCAGTCACTCTCTTCGCACTCCAGAATGGTTCCATGATGAACAAAGCTGGATTAACCACACAAAGAACAATGGATTACTTCCTCCATTACATATCTGTGATCTGCATGCATTTTTCCCCTCATCTTCATCAGTAATACCTTATTTACCTGATTCCAAGACAAAGTTCCCCCCCAACATAACATAGACAAAAAATGCTCCTTATCTTGGAATCGAGTACCAGGCAGTGGAGGGGCAAGTACCGTTGTGATTTTGATCCAAGCTGCAGCTGCTGCAATATGGCCTCTGCCCCCCACAGCTCAGATCCCCCACCCACACCCCCAGCTGCTTACCTTTGCTCTGGGCTCTGCTTCAGTCTGGGGCATGGAACATGTTTGTGCTCTCAACCCCTGCCTGGCCTGGTAGCAGTGGTGGTGGGGATGTGGCAGCTTGAAACTCAGCTCTAGGGCCCAGCCAGAGCTGCGACTGTTGCTGGGCCAGAACACAAACATGCTACACCCTGCTAGAGCAAACATTAGCAGCAGCGTGGGTTGGGGTGGGACAGGAAGAGGCAGCCAGGGGGCAGAGGGACCAAAAACTCAGGGGGAGACAGAGGCTACAGGAGGCAAAATATGTTGAGGGGGGGAGGCAAGGGGCAGGGGTCAAGCTGCTTGATTTCTATCCACACCCCCCACAAACCCCCGCTCCACTACCCATCTTCCAGCTCTCTCTTCTACCGCCTGTCCCCCTCATTGCTTTCTATTGAGACTATCCACAAAACCGACAATTGCGATGAAGGATTCTGTGAGGCAGACCCAAAAGAACAGTCATTAAATAGACCAGCTACACTAAAAAGACAGTGGAAGAAGGAATTTTAAATAGGATTTAGTTACCCTGCAACATTACAAAGAACATCAATTCTCTCAATCTCCTTGGCCAGATTTTCTATTTGCTCCTTCTTAGTGACATCTAGCACCCATATTTGGATGCCTAAGAAAAAAAAAAGAAAAAAGGATTTTAGTTCACTTTTTTTTTTTTTAGTTAAAGACCAATTGTCTGATTTGAGAAAACCTGGTTAATTTTGCAGCTGCCATTAAAGTCAATGAGTGATCACCAGGGCCAGTCCTTTCTGAATGCAACCATAAAATGAAAAGATTCCATGAAATTCCAAGCCTACCATGCAAGAGTTATGCTATTTACTATATGCCATGGAAGCACAAGGAAGCAAAAGGCTCCAATGTGTGCCTGTGATCAGCTGATTGGTGCTGGCCACACATTCAGTTTAAGGCATGACAGGAACCAGCCACAAAGTTAGTACATGTTTTGTGTGATAGTTTTGTGGCTTATTCTATTTTATCATGCCATTAATTGCATGAAAGTGGGGCTGGGTTACTACTTAAAATAGGATTGACTAGTTAATCACACCTTAAGTGTAACAATGTCTGCCAGGGGCCACAGTTACTTCAATATACAAGCCACAGGTACACCATCCACTGGCTGAAATGCAGATAATTTAACAAATGAAATAACCCCTAGAATAAAGCACGCCATAGGCCATACAGCATTCCAGAGCCTCACATGTATAATTCATTAAGTTATCATGATTCATTTCCTGTGCTGAGAATGTAATCACTTTGTGACGTTAATCATCCACACCCAGATGCATACAATTTAATGAAAGCTGTGAAACTAACCTGGTTGAGTGACTAATGCCGATGGGAGAATTAGTTGCTAAATCAGTATTAACTGAAATACACCTGTACCTTGTGAGCCAGGGTGACATCTGTGTGGCATCAAGTACTTCTGGGAGATTTGCCAGCAAGGAAGCTAATTCTTTCCAGGCAGGCAACTAACTTGAACAGTGGAGTGTCTGCTCCAGCTTATTTCCATCCCATATTGCTAGTATTTCAAAAAGTAAAGCTTTAACAGATCATGGGGTTGAAACTCCTTTTTTGAGGATAGGAGTGCATGATAGTTTGACTTTACCTCCTGATACTGGTCTTAGCCTTCAGAATTCAGAACTTATACAAACAAAATAGGGACTGATTTGATGACAGTAGAATTATTTTCTAAAGGTACACCAATTCTTACTAGTTACCGTATTACATAGCTCTAAATGTATTAATTAAATTCACTGAAACAGAACACTATTTTTATTTAACAACTAATTAAGCTAGGCCGGGGTGGGCAAAATACAGCCTACAGGCCAAATCTGGCCCACCAAGGGATGCTATCCAGCCCATGGCAGGTCCCTTGGCCTCACCTGGGCAAGGAGCAGGGGGCCACCTGGGCCATGAAGCATGTGGCTAGTCCTGCTGCCTCCAGGGTGTGTAACAGGGTGGGAGTAGCGCAGCAGCTGGACTCAGCTTCCTGGTAGCCCCTGCAGTGGTGGCTCCTTTTTGCTGCCATAATGCCACCACTGGACCCGGCCCATATGCTTCATTGATCCTATCTGGCCCTGGGCCCATCTGCCCTGCATCTACTGCTGGGGGCACCAGATGGGTTGGGTTTCCATGGAGACTGGCCCAGGATCCCTGTGGGCAGTGTGTTTGGCTGGGCAGATAGGGAGTGGCATCTGGGAAGCGGGATGGGTGGTGGCAACAGGGACTAAGGTCAGAGATGCAATCTGTTCCCTGCACATCTCTACCTGCAAAAATGGCACCTATCACAAGTACTTGTGGGGAGTGGATCATGGCTCTGCCCTAGGCTCTGTCCCTATATTGTCACTGTAATCACAACTCTGGCCCTGCCCCGGCCCTCATCCCATCTACCTAGCCAAGCATGCCCTGCCCACGGGGGTCTCAGGCTGGTCTCCATGAAGACCATATCCTCTCCATCCAGTGCCCATGGCAGTGGGTGAGGGCTGGATGGCCTGAGGCTGGATAGCATCAATTGAGCCTGCCTGCCCCCACCCCCCTCAACAGCTCACCAAAACTCCTTAAGTGGCCCTCCTGCCCAAATAATTGCCCACCCCTGAGCTAGGCCTTCAGTTAACATTGTAGAATTTCTTGCTTTTAGCACTAGTGACCCCAAAGTTCAAACAGAACAATTCCTACTGATAACGAACACCACTTGACAGCTAGCCCACTGACCTAGGCAAAATTACATAGGTAAAATGAATGGTAGTGTAAGGCAGAGCAGCAATTAACGTCTTCAGGAGTGCTAAAGAGGTCAGATAGCTGGGGTTAATCCGTCTACCTGCAACCTCCATTCTGAAATGCTGTTTCAGTGGAATACTAGCACTTGGACATAAAGCCCCCATATCTTCTGTGCTACAGCAAAAAAGTGGCTATCAGCACTTAGGGGCTGTTATTAAATCATTCTGCCACCTTTAGAATTCTGGGCTACCCTTAAATGAGATTTTGATAAGCAGCTTAAAAACTACTGAAGACTTGGACCAATGATTGTTGTAAATCATTTACCAGAATACTTCTCTAGGTCCTGCAGCTTTGACTCATTGATGTCTGTAGCAATGACCTTGGCTCCTTCTTTTGCAAAAGCCTTAAATTCATAAGTAAAAAGTACACAATTAATGTTTGGCTATTTGAAGTTTCAAAAAAGGCTGACTAACTCAAGAGAGCAAAGGTTGCATTTCTTTCTGGGTAAATATCAATAAAAGGCTACATTTCCAAACACTCTGGTATTAGACAATTACACATGTGATATGACTACAGAACTGATGATCCCTCTCTCCAAACCAGAGTCCATAATTTTCTCAGCAGGTCTCACTGCCCGACATATAATATATAATATCTGATAAGGGCAGCATGTACACTAGCCAATGTCTTACAGATTAGTAGGACCAGGTTATAAGAGAGTGGGTACATCTACATGTGTACTTTACTGCAGAGCTGACTTAGCTCCACACTCAAGTGACATTGTCTACACACAAACCGGTACTAGGGTACAGTAAATTAATTCAGCTGTAAGATAGTATAGTCTGGGACAATAACTCCACCAAAAGATGGTACTAACAGTGGTGAAACATGTGGAAATGCTGACCCAGGAATAAATTGCACCCAGGCAGCATAGGGTCAGATACCTGCCTGCTGCCTAGCCACACAGCTCTGAACATTTGGCACTCAGGCCCCAGCCAGCCCTTCCATTGCCCAACGCCACCACCTGGAGCCTGAGGCTGGCACCCTCCCCCGCCCCCCCACTTGCTGCCAACCTGGGCCTGCTCTTCCCCAGCTCAAAGCACTGCTGTCCTGTGTGTATGTGTAGACACTGTGCCCAGGAGGCTTTAACTCTGGTGTGAACTGCTCAGAGTTTATTGTGTCACATTAACTTCATGTGTAGAGGCACCCACTGTTAGCTAAATATAACAAAGATGTAGAACCTGGCTCTACTATTTATGGAAAGTGACAGCTCTGTATAAGCTAAATTCTAGTTCATTATTCAAAACACTAAAGAAGGCATTATTTAATAACTTTTCTTACTATTTACTGCACACAATGGAGCCAGGTATTTGATCTTGAGCACTACCCCTAAAAAAGGTACTAAAATCCATTGGGAGAGAGCTTACTTTATGCCTTAGCTACGTAGCTACTTTTTGCCAGAGTAATCTATTGTCAAAAGGTGCCTTGAAGCATCAGACAAAAGCAAGAATTTCTCAAGGACCCCATACCACAAAAATGCCTATAATGCAATTTCAGCTATTGTTGAGGGTTGTCTTTAGAAGGCTCAGGCATACCACTCTCATCTGGAACTTGTTGCAATTTTACAAAAGCAAACTCTTTAAGAAAGAGACCCATTTTGTAAGTTAGGTCTTCCATATGAAAGTTGTTTTTAAGCAATGGTTCAATACAGGATATCTGTAACGGACTTGCATTTCGTTACACAATTCCACAGTAGTAGGCAACCACAGATCCTTTAGAGGTCTAAGAAGTCTAGTCAGGTGCCTGATAAATCTACTTGAACAGAGTCCTGCAACCATCACACCAAGACCTTTGATGTGTATGCCTAGGCAAGAGTACGGACGAGTGGTGTGGAGGCTGCCCTAGACCTACCACCCACCTTTTAGACCATTGAGACTGAGAGGCCAGATGTTCAGTGCCTTGATGGGTGTAGCTTTTGCCAGAGAGCAACAGACAAACTGCCTAACACCTCAGTGAGGGTGTGTTTCTGGCTAAGGGACATCACCCTGACTTTCTCCAACCAAGGAATATCCAGAAGGTAGCGGGGGCTAGGATTTTGAGGCACCCTATACTTGCCTTACTCTGGATGTTGTAACTGTGGTATTTTATGAGCTACCCCACCACGTGGAGCCCCACCACTGCCACCAAAAGTATCACAGTACATAAGGGTCAAAATTCCATTTCACTCTGTTCCTGCAGTGATTTTTAGCAGTATTAACAACTTATCTGACCTCCAAGAGGGAATCTTGGGATTGGAAAGGAGGAAGTTGCTTAGATCGTCTCCTATTTTCCTCTTCTCAAAAACAAAGGAATAGAAATCTTTGAAAGCCAATTATGGCCTAGCCACCATTCAAAGATGGAAGACCTGCAACTGTCTGCTAAGTGAATGTTAATTCATAGTCCAATGTCAGTGATACTATACCCAGTCAGGTGACTTGTGAAGGTCCTTCAGGGCAGTACTAATAGTGGTATAACAGGGAATTTTGAGTGTGCAACCTTGAATGAATTTTCCATAATGGAAATTAAGTTCTTATGGTGTAGCAGTCATACTTCACGTGCTTTCCATGGAAAGTTGGGTATTTTTGGCTTCTCTCTCATTTGGAATTTATTCATGATTAATAAAGGCTGTTCAGCAGAGATGGCAATGGAGAAGTCATCATAGCAAAGCTAGTAAGGAATATACAGTGGAAAAAAGAACAAATCTTTCCAGACTTACAATAGCAGTGGCTTGACCAATCCCTTGTGCTGCTGCAGACACCAGTATGACCTTCCCATCAAGCCGGCCCATTCTGGATTCTGAAGATACTTAAACAGATATTGCCCTTCCAAACAGGAAGGCAAGTTATGATCAGCTGTAATGAATAACCATCAAATACATTCTGTAGCTGAACAGATAACTGAGCATCTTCCTTTAACAAGTGCTGGAGAATGCCCTATTCCTGGGTAGGAGATACAGAACCTGCATAAAACGAGGGAAACCTGTATGTGTGAATTTGCTTTTATGCAATGACCCTTTTTATACCAAAAATTCGTTATACGCGAGGTAAATTCACTCTTGCGCAATTGGTGTGGTGGAAGCCCAGAGTCAGTTGCTTTGTGCAGTTTATTGTGGGAATGATACACACCAAAATATCATCGTGTGGATCTGTGCTCCTCACTCGTCTGTGACACATGTATCTGTAGTTGCCATCCCCATTATGATAGTGCCCTGTACCTGTGTGTACTGTCTGGTGTTGCCGAGTACCAAAATTGTCTTGTAAGTGGTAGAAATGGGTCAGGGGGGTCAGTACAGTTAAGGTCTGGGAACGTATCCCTATTTTTTACATTGTAAAGCGGGTTCCCTTTATATTAATTCGAGTTATGCACCTTTTTCCAGGAACGCATATACAGCATCAAGCGAGGGAAACCTGTACTGAAATGGTACAGTTCTGAAATAAAAAGCTGAAACAATGAAGGCCAGGCTTATCTCTATATGCCAGTGGTCTTCAACTTTTTAAGCACAAGATCACTTCTTGAATTAAAGTGCAACCCAGGATCTGCCTGAACCACACACCTGGCAGCAGGACACACTTGGTGTTGTACCGCTCCTAGGGTAGCTGCAGTGGGGCTTGGGGCTCAGAGACCAGCACACAGTGCCAGCCTCCACTCCGCGCACGTATCAGGGGGGCAGGTGCCCCCCAGACCTCCGCCGGGGTGGATGCAGTGGCAGAAGTCCTCCTGCACTCCTGGACAAGCCACCCGGGCTCCGATTGTGCCACCAGCCAGGGCTCCACTACTCCAGCCCCTGCCCCACTTCTTTCCTCACTGTGGGTATCTTGATCTGCACCCCCCTCCCTTCCTCTCCCCCACAGACTGACCTGCCAGGTGGATGGGGGGTGGAATGCATGCACGTGATTAGCCCCCACCAAATAATTCTCTCTCCCTCCACCTGTGTGTGTGACTGAGATTGAGATAGACTGTCAGAGGCTCCACAAAATTGACCAGTTGATCGTGATCTACTGGTTGGTGACTACTGTTATAGGCAGATAAATCTCAAGAACAGAACAAAACATACCTAGCAAAGTACATAGTGGATTATCACTTTATGAGATATGAGATTTAGCAGTAAACAGCAAATATATGCAGAGTAGGTGGGTGCAAAGGAAATAGTTCTCACATCTCACAGAACTTTGAGATTAAAAATAATGTTACCACTCTACATCATGTTCAGAAAACTAAAACGCATTTAGTTTTTATGAAAAAAAAAAGGGAGACTGACCAGAGTATCCACAAGGCTCAGGTTAGTTAGAGCTTTTGAGAGATATGCAGGAGACTCATGCTCAAGGGCCTGTTCCATCTGACTCAAATCATGGATGTTAAGCTTGTATCTCCCACACCCAAGACAAGGGGGCCAAACTCCAGAATATTCTCTATTCTGGATGCGGTTTCTGTGGTTTCAGATAGAGGTCCCATACTGGCTCAGAGAAACTTCTGACAACAAAACTTCATCCAAACTGGTACATTTCCATGACAAGTTTCAGTTTCAACAAAAACATTTAATAGAAAAGGCCCTGATTGGCTCTATTATGGATACTCTGCTACACTGAACATGAAAAAAAAAAAATCAGTCTGGTTTGTAGCCTAAGGCTTAAAGAGGCCAAAGTCTCCGAGAACAGATAGACAAGCTGAATAGTCAAAACTGCTCCCCTGGTTTGGCTGGCACAAGCAAATTAGCTGCTTCTCAGCACAGCTTTTACCTAGGTGCACTGCAGTTAGAAAGGTGCAATTTCCACTAAAATCAGGTCCATGGGACTGTTGCCCTCTGTTGCAGCTTGCATGCATCACAAGCAGCTGCTTACAAAATGATTACACACGCTTGCTCATGTTGGCTGAGTTATTTGCTTGGTTGGGCTCTCATTTTGCTCCCCAACCTTCCAGCCAGGCCCATGCTGCTGTAATCTCACCAACACTACTTTTATTTGTGTGAATAGATTCCAGAAAACTGTTATGAGCCACAAGACATATAGGCCTCTAATTATATGATAGTTTTTATTGCCCATGTTTAGTAGTGATTAACTGATACTACCAAACACTGAAGCTTTCAACTTAGGCTATACTTTACACCACACCTTCATTACTAAAATAGGCAAGTCTGGTAAGAGACGGTATCTTGCTCATCTTAAGACCCAGCCTTTGGGAAACCAAAAAACGTACCATATAGGAATTGCTCTAGAACTTAACCATAACTTTCCCATTAGTATCTCTGTGCACAACTAATAGGATGAAACAGAAAAGAACAGCTACCTACCCACCTCAAAATATACGGAGTCAGCTCTTCAGGTTTGTTAGGCCTCTGTACTTGAGGAAGTTGCATGCACTTCAGTGTTTGCTGGGATTTGTAGTTCAGCTGAACTTCTTTAAAAACCATCCCAGTCCCTGTTGAAACATGGAGATGCTGCCATCTAGTGTGGCTTGGGATAAACATGGAGATGCTGCCATCTAGTGTGGCTTTGGCCATATAAAAAGTTATGCATTTTTTTCCTCTCGAGGAGAAGAAATGTCAACATTAACTGGCAGTTATGCATATAGAAAATCAGCAAAACCCAGTGGTGAATGAAATTGTATACATCCACATACATAATAAAGCTAACATGGAGTCAACTTTTTTTTCCCCTGATCAACTGTTTTTACTTGTTTGTCTATCTCTATTCTTATATGTACAGTTAAGTCCTCAAATTTACAACTCTGACGTGAAAAAAATTATAGCATCATCAAGTTTCAAACACTTTCAGGACAAGATTATTTGATCTCATCATGATCTTACATCTAAAGATGCTCCACCAGATTGTTTAATATCCAGACAGCACTCTTGGGAAAAAATTAGCAAGTAAGCATATTCCCAGTCACAAATGTACTTGTTTTCTGGGAAAGTTTGTTCAAACACTCTTTAGCTATTTGAATTAGTACTGTTGCTTTTCTGCTGAGTAGTGACCAGTTTTCTGGTTCTTGTAGATTAGCTTTCTAGCCAAGAACTCATTCTTCTAATGTCTTCCTATCAGCACTTTTTCCTCCATCCACCACAAATAGGTAACACTTCCTGTTTATGGAATTTGGAGGCAGCGCCATGGTTACTGCTGAAGACTTCAAGGGTTAAGAATATTTTTCAGCTCGTGCCACCAGAAGAATTCTTGCAAAGCTGTAGCAGCTTTCAGCAAACAATCTTCAAGACTAAAGTACAGACATCTGGAGGCATTACAGAGAAGTTAAATTGGTTCAAAATGGCTGCAGGTAAGCCAGGATGGGGGGCTAGCAAGTAGGTTGGGGGGAGGGAGGGTCCAATAGGCTGGAGGGGGGTGGCACATGGAAAAAGGTGACCCATGAGAGATGGGGGCAGGTGCAACCCACAGATGGGGTGTGGTCCCCTCCCCACAATGAACCTACACCCCCATCCCTCCCCACACCAGGGACTTACTTGCTCAGCTCTGGCAGCAGCAAATGCTGATAGAAGTGGCTGCACCTGGAGCAGCTTGTGGGATCAGGGTGAGAGGCTTGACTGGTCAAGGGGAGAGAGGGGGGAGCAAGGGAAGAAAAAAAAAAGCCTATTGTGGTGGAGGAGGGGGGTGAAAAGAGCAGCCCTGGGCTGGGACCAGTGGTTGGGTTTTCCTAGCCCTAAGTCTGCGCAGGGAAAGGACCAGTTTGACCTAAAAATGGAATACATTTGATACTACATAGATCCAGGTTTATCTTAAACTGGGTTCTGCAATTTTTAGACCAGTTTGCATGTGGAACTTCTGCACAGGTACAAGTTTACACCGATTGCTGGTCACCGAGACCAGGTCTGTCAGTGTAAGGTCAGCATCAGGGCAAGCCAAATTTAAATTGGGCAGCCATTTTTAATCCGACAACCTCCCCCCAGATGTCTGTACTTAACCCAAGGCAACATTTTGAAGTGACACTGACCAGCATTAAAAGCTATTATGTTTTGGTCTCCCTTGGGGGAAAAAAAAATTCCAGTATGAATTTTGGTATTCATTAAAATCAGACCATGGGTTGGAGAGAAGCAAAAGCTTTTTGTAAAAAGACAAATCAAAATAGGTTTCTCATTATGCTGCACAGCTTCTCTCATACAGTCACCAAGAATCAGCAAAGAGTGAATCAAAGTGAAGTGAAGGCAGAAGAACAAGCAGAATTGTAGTAATTACTAAACAGTATAACAGGACAAAGAGCAACAGAAACTCTACCAACAAAAAACAAAGCTTTCTAATTCAAGGTATTGTGGGAATCAACCCAATAGCACCTTCCGAACAGTGGATTCCTCTGCAGAGAAAAGGGATACTATAAAAACTTCAACTAGACTCCTTTTGGCAGAAGGGGAAGGTTAGTTTTGGGAGTGATGTGATTGCAGGCACTTTAGGTTGGTAAGAAAAACAAAATTAAGCAGTTTCTGTTAAGTGATCAGCAGTAAAAGTGTCTTAATTTAAATTATCCTTTGATAAAAAAAGCAAGATCTTATGAAGGTTTAATTCGGATCTCACATATATGTTCCAGATTGCCTAGTGGTTCAAAAGATAGCGTTAAAACTGTGGACATAATTTTAATGGTTCTCTTGCAACCATAAGTAGAATTTTCTCTGCCTCCCCCATGAAAGTTTAGATTATAGAGCACATTTGAGAAAATGGGTACTGCAGCCCATTGCATAGTTGAGGGCAGGCTGAGAAGTTTTAAATTTAATGACATGGCTATAAAGCTGACAAGCATCTTGACTACTATCAGCAAGGCTACACAGTACACGGGGTTTATGTTAATCAAAGCTCCAGTGCTAAAGCATCAGTTGTTGGACATGTAAGGCTGTACTAAAACTGCCAAAATAACTTTGCATATTCTTTCCCCCCCACCTTTTTTTAAAATAAGAGCTGTATGCAATTTTGTTGGTCTTGATTCATGCACAGAATCAACTTTTTAAAATGGTAACAGAACAGCCTATATGATTACTTTATAAATAATGGGAATATTATTGTGGATTTTTTCCCCACAAGAACATCAACTAAGCAACCACTACCACTGAGACCTACCCTCTGTACCATCTCCACCTCACTAAGATTACATAAAATTATTGCCTGACAAATAAAATCGTTTAAACATTTAACACTTTATTAAATCAAGAACATTCTTAAATACCTGAGATACAAAGAGACAGACCCCCACAGATAATCACAATGGTGAGATATAGGTCAGTCTTGCAGTTTAGATATGTAAACAAGCAGCATAAGCATTCCACTTCCTATTTCTATCTGTAGTAGATGGAAGCAGTTAGAAACTGATGATTAGCATTAAAGCAGCCAGTTTTCCCCCACTCTGTACTCACTATAGCTATGTTCAGGGGGGAAAAAAAAAGTTCACAAAATTATTTTTGGAACCACAGTAGCCTCTACTCTTCATTTAAAAAAAAATCTCATATCTGCACTTTGATTGCATGCTCCTGTAAATGAAATGCTAGCAGTTTATTCATTATTTTTTCCAGACAGTGGTTAAAAGAAGTTGAGAATACAATTCCCCAGTCTTACAAAGTGATATAAAAACCAGAAAAACGTCTTCCACAAAGGTAGAAAAAAGAAGCAGAAAAGTAGAGCTCTTTCTATTATAACAGACTGAGAAAGACTGGTTTATGTTGGGAGGGTTGTTGTAGGAGTGGCAGCATTAGTCTCCAAGACTGATAAGTTTCACAGTGAAAATGCAGTTTGGTTTGCGATCCATTCTATATTCCTCTTTAGCTTGCAGGCTTCATCTTTGCCATCACAAGGTAAGTAATGAAGAACAGCTGAAGAGACAGCATTAGCTGGAAGTAGGCAACACCAGCTCTTGGTTAAGAATTGTTAAATCCCAAATACAAAAGAAGTGACAGCAAAGTTACTCCTAAGAAGTGAGATAATAATGTCAGAAGCCTGTTCCCACAGTTTGAGGTTAAAATCCAGTTGCTAATTCTGCAGCAAGTATATTCTACATATGCAGTGTCTGGCTTTATTCACTGGCAAGAACAAGGAACAGGGCTTTATTGGGTTGTACAGTCAGGTGCTTCATCCTTTTCTGAAACTCCTAACCAGTGCTTATATTGTTCCTCTGTAGGCTCTATTCCTCCAGGTCGTGCATCTATACAAGAGGAAAAAGAAAAAAATAATTACAGTAAGTTAAACTTAAATTTACCCAGTTTAACAGACCCATAAAGAACAATTGCTGTCCCCCAACTAGAGGTTTAGAAGGCAAAGTGACTGATTTTGACAGCATGACTGGTCATAACCTCTAAATTCTAGCTTTGGCAAAGCCCAACTCTGATCTTGGCATATAGGCTGGAACCTGAAATTCAGCAGTGGGTTGAGGTGGAAGTGAGAAAAAGCCTGTATAGATACTATCCTGGAGTGCGTACACACACATTAACTTTCTGACAGTTAGAGTCGACTCAACTTTAAGAGTACATGGGTACATGAAGCAGAGTTGACAAATACAGCACAAGATGATAATACAATTCCAAGGTGTATTATCATGAGTTGCATTAGTTAAGTTGACTTAGCTCACAAGGTGGCTGCCACCCTGTCAAGGAACTGTATGCACATACATTCCAATGTGACCTAACTTAGCAAACTTAACTAAGTCTGCTTTAAGTTGACTTAGTACGTGTGTACGCACTCCAGGCTACCATCACTGTAGCCAAAAGCAGACTGACAGTGTGGATACCAGACTAATCTTAAAAAGATAAGGGGCTGGTGCCTGTAGAGAGAGAAGTTCACTTAAAATCTTTTCACTTAAAAGTCATATGGCTGGAACTAGCCAGTAGCCTTCTCTGAATATTATTTTCTAGAATAAGGGAAATTAAGTTATATAAAAGTTTAGTAATAATAATAAAATTAAAAACAGAAGCCAAATATTTTGTCTGTCCATAATTTTTACTAGCCAGTCATTGACACTTATGTTGCAAGGAAAAGCTAACCCAACTTCCAGAATAAAAATACTAAAATTGTGCATCCTAGTCCCTTGGTGCACAGTTAGTAGGCACTTAACTATGGAGTCTTTGTGGCTCTCGCTAGCCAATCCTTTAACATCCCACTGAATAGCTGTTTAAGAAAAACAATTAAAAAAATTTAAAAGCTTTTTCTAGATATCACATTTACCCAAAGAACCTTGCCTGCCCAAACCTTTTTTCTATAAAGGGAGACAAATTTGTTACTGAAATCATTTTATGTGAAGTACACTATTTGCATGGCAATTCCTTTAACCAGCAGTGCAGTATTGCATTACATACCTATAAGCGTGCCTAAGCTGGAGTTATCGAAGAAATTTGTGGGGCAAATCGGTGGCAAAGGTTTTGGTGTATCCAAGGGCAGAATTGCTTGTGAACTGTGTTCCTTGGGAG